TTCTGAATCCAGCTTGAATTTCTGGAAGTTCCCTATTAATAGTGTGTTAGTAGTGTTCCTAGTCAATAGTGTGGCATAAGGAGTAGTAAAGTCCTTACTTGGAGAGGTGGTGCCTTAGTTTCCTAGGACTGCCATAACAAACATATCACAAGTGGGTGACTTTAAAGAATAAGAATTTATTGTCAGTTTGGATGCCGTAAGTCTCAACTCAAGATGTAGGCAGGGCTGTTTTTCTGCTCCAGGAGAAGATTATGGCTTGTCTTTTCCAGCTTTTAGCAGCCTCAGGTATTTCTTGGAATTCCTTGGCTTGTAGGCAGACCCTTAAATGGTGTCTTGTCTCTCTGTTTAACTCTCCATGTCTGTTTTTCCTTTTTATAAGACACCACACAGAAGAAGACTTGGTTTAAGATTCACCCTACTCTAATAGGAGCTCTGGTGGTGCAATGCTTAAGGCATTTGACTGCTAACCAGAAGGTGGCGGTACAAACCCACCAGCCGCCCCGTGAAAGGAAGATGGTGCAATCTACTTCTGTAAAGATTTACTGCCTCAGAAACAGAGTAGGGGTCACTAGGAGTTGGAATCAACTTGATGGCAGTGGGTTTGGATTTTTTTTTTGGTCTACTCTATTATGACATTATTAGCATAACAAAAGAAAAACTCTATTTCAAAACAAGAGTCAAATTAACAGGTACAAGGGTTAGGACTTCAACATATCTTTTTGGGGGACACATTCAATCCTTAACAACTGGAAACTTAGCAGAAGGTTTGACAGATAGGAGGAAGTCTTTCTCTTTTTGTTGAGTAAATTAATTATTTGGAGGACTTATTCTTTACCTTCATGGATCTTTTCTTGCAGGGACTCATGCAACCAAAGTCTGGAGCCAATGGAACAGTTGTTACTGAGTTCATCTTACTGGGCGTGGTGGAAATGCCAGGACTGCAACTACTTATCTTTGTACTCTTCCTATTTGCCTACATGGTCACAGTTGGGGGCAACCTCGCCATCCTGGCAGCCATCTTGGTAGAGCCCAAGCTCCACACTCCCATGTACTTCTTCTTGGGGAACCTCTCAGTGCTGGATGTTGGGTGTATCACTGTCACTATTCCTTCAATGTTGAGTGGTCTCTTGTCCCACAAGCATACAGTTCCTTATGAAGCCTGCCTTACACAGATCTTCTTCTTCCATCTCCTGGTTGGAGTGGACTGCTTCCTGTTAACAGCCATGGCTTATGACCGCTTCCTGGCCATTTGCCGGCCTCTCACCTACAGCACTCGCATGAGCCAAATGGTCCAGAGGACATTAGTGGCCGCATCCTGGGCCTGCGCCTTTAGCAATGCACTGTCCCACATTGTGGCCATGTCCACACTCAACTTCTGTGGCCCCAATGTGATCAATCACTTCTACTGTGACCTCCCACAGCTCTTCCAGCTCTCCTGCTCCAGCACCCAACTCAATGAGCTGCTGCTCTTTGCTGTGGGTTTCATAATGGCAGGTACCCCTATGGCTCTCATTGTCACCTCCTATGCCCATGTGGCAGCTGCAGTTCTACGAATCCGTTCAGTGGAGGGCAGGAAAAAGACCTTCTCCACATGTGGCTCCCACCTCACTGTGGTCACCATGTTCTATGGTTCAGGTATCTTTAATTACATGCGGCTAGGTTCAGTCAAGCTTTCAGATAAGGATAAAGCTATTGGAATTTTTAACACTGTCATCAACCCCATGCTGAATCCCCTTATCTACAGTCTTCGGAATCCTGATGTGCAGGGTGCCCTCTGGCGAGTGCTCATGGGAAGGCAGTCACTGGCCTGAGGAGGCTTTGTCTATCCTTCCCTCCATGTCTCTTTTTCGTCTAAGGGAGGGGTGATAGTTAATCTGTTAACTATCTATTACGCCGTTGTTTGGTCAGACACTAGTCTAACTGTCGTTATGAAGTATTTACATGTGATCATATTAGTTGGCCTTAAGTAAAGCAGATCTCCCTCCCTAATATGAGTGGGCCTCATCCAATGAGTTGAGAGCACAGACGGAGGAGTCCCAAGGAAGTATTCTATTTTCAGACTATAAATAGACATCTTGCCAGAATTCCTCTTACTCTCTTACCACCTGACCAACCAATGTTGGGGCACAAATCTCTAGCCTGTCACCTAACCTATGGATTTTGGAACACAAGACTGACAGAATTTCCAGCCTGTCATCTGACCTGTAATTTTGGACTTGCCAGTCATACAACCATGGGAGCCAATTCCTCAGAAATAAATTAATTTGTTTCTCTTTCTAATACATGCTAGTATTATACAAATATATACATATATGGAGCTCTGGTGGCTCGGTGGCTAAGGCATTCAGCTGCTAACCAAAAGGTTGGTAGTTTGAGCCCACCAGCTGCTCTGTGGGAGAAAGTTGGGGGAGTCTGTTTCCATAAAGATTTACAGCCTCGGAAACCCTGTGGGGCTGTTCTCCTCTGTTCTACAGGGTTGCTATGAGTCAGAATTGACTGGATGGCAGTGGAAATTTATATATTTCTCTAGAGAATCCTGACTGAAATAGAAGTGATTCTCTGGGGTCAGAACTAGGACAAATGGTTCAGAACTGCTTTTATCTTCCTGAGCATGAGGACTTTCGTAGAGAATAATAGTTATTGTTTCACAAGGAAACCTGCCCAAAGACCATGGGCATGTAGGTTCTGCCAGGCCTAACTCCTTGACAAATTACAACTTCAGTCACTGTTTCCATCCTTTTGTGGATAGAGGTGATGCATAAGAAGTCCTGAACGCTCACTAGTTCATGTTCCAGAGGGACAGAGTCTGTAGGTGATTATAGCCTGGGTCCCCAAAATACCCCAGCAAACTTTCCCTGTCAGGATCATATAATTCCTTCAACATCAAGTACAGTTAGTCTGTTTATAACACAGAGTCCTGGAGCTCAAGATTATTTTAGTCCCCCACCAGGCATCTATAAACATAAAAAAAAAAAAAAAAGCAGCTCTTCTCTTTATTGCACAAATATCCCATGGCATGGGGCAGAGAGCTCTGTGGTCATATGTTCACTAGTGGCTCTGGAAAGCATGATTCATATTTGTAGTTCATATTTAAAAAAAAAAA